TCTCCCGCCCTTCTGTTGGTTCTGTATAAATCACTTTTATTTCTGCAGGTATTTTCCTTTCAGATAAAAATGACATTTCGTTTTGTATTATTTTTGTCTTTCCTTATGAATGCACTGATAATATTTTAAATGCTCTATTTTAAGATCTCCTGAATCTTTTTGTTTTTAATTGGGGGGGTGTTCTACAAGGTCTTTACTTCCCACAAATAAATGTTGCCACGGCGGGGGAGGGTAGGGGGCGGGAAGGGAGACGTTAGTAGGCCAGTGGGGCAGCAGTGTTTATGTGTTAAGCAACAGTACAATTTCATGGTTGGCATGGTTAAAAAATTGGAATATAAGAATAGCTCTTTTGTACTTTGATGACCAATTATGCTGTATTTTAACACGATGTATGTCTGTTCGTGTGGTGCTCTAGTGGTAAATAAATTATTTCAATCCTTTGTTGTTGTTTGCGTCCTATCCCAGTGCCATCCCTGAGTGCAGGAAACGCCAGCGATACAGTGAGCATGCTCCCCAGGGGAGGTTGGGAGGCACAGTCACCCTTGCGCTTTCTTACTGAGGCTCTTGCCCAATAGCGACACGTTGTGGTCGAGAACCAGGACTTGCCAGTCAAGGACTAAAGAAAACCCTGCACAATCTGTTTATTTGCTTATTGCTATTTGGTAATTATTTGAGATTTAGTTTCCATTCAGCCTGACCATTTACCAGAGAAAAGGGAGAGAGATAGTTGCGTGATGATCTGCCTTCTGGCTCTAGGCTCTGCCAACCCCAGGGCCAAAAGAACTGGTCTAGATGGCATCCCCTGTAGCCACAGAACTTAGAGAGTGGTAGAGCGAGCCAGATATAATGATAGCTACATGTTCTTTGGGAGCAAGCTACTCTGGCTTTCACCAATACCACTGTATGTACATATATGTGTGCACGCGCGCGCGCGCGCACACACACACACACACACACACACCATTCTCTCAAACTGCCTTGGCTACCGCCTACAAACCAGACTTCTCAAGTGAGTTGCCCTTATCTTAATAAATACAATCTAACAAATAGAAAAGTAGTTGTAACTCAGTCTGGGTCTTGAAAGAACTACTAGTTTGTACCTGTTGGGTTGTCTGGACCTCACATAGAGGCCAACCATGGATTGGATTGTCAAAGTAGAATAGAAATGGTTTCCTTGCCTGTGGTCTTGCTTGTCTTTGATCTTTCGTACACACCTCACAGAGAGAGGAAATACACTGCACTGAATTTAGTTCCCATCTGCACAGAGCAGACAGTTCTGGCCCCGTTACCCCCACCCACGTGGCTCTGGCAGTCTGTGCCCCTCTTGTCACTGAGGCATGGCCACACGGGATAAAGAGTGCTTCTTTTAGCGTCCATTGGGTGCCCAGTCCGTGGGGTCTCCGCAGTATTTCCCAGCCTGTTCTTGTCTGGGTTCCTTGGCACCCATGCTGCTGCAGTAAGCTTCTCTTTTCCAGCCTGTGACCTTGGTCTACTACTCTCTGTGTCCAGATCCTGCCTTACAAGTCAGTCGAGCCACCAGGAATTCCTGTGAACACTGTATAACTGTATGATAACCTTTTGGTCACAGGAGGAGACATAAACTTACTGAAAACAGAAGGGGGATGTTTTCAGTAAGTTTACTGAAAAGCGTCATTTTAAGCTTCAGTTAAGGCCACTATCAAAAACTCAAAGGGAGCGAAGCAGCATGTTTTCTGCTATCTGACTCAGTCTCACCTTGAGCCCTGTGTGACAGAATTTTTATAAAGCTCCAGTTTATGTGAATAAGGAGACTGGGAGTGGATAAACTGCCAGTCCGTGCCCTGCAAGCACTGAGTAGTGGTCAGAGGCTCCTCGTCTAGCGTACTGGCTGCATGTGGCCACAGGGCATTCAGGGAATGACTGACCTGAGCTGTGGTATGCTAGGTGTAGAAGAAACACATGCTGTTACTAGCAAAAAACAAACAAAAACCTATTAACTGCAGGATGCCTAGTTAACAGGTTACTGCCTACTGACTACACATCTGAATAATACTATTTTTGATATACATACTGGGATTAAATCAAATACATTATTAAAATTAATTTCACAGGGTTAATAGACAACTTTAAATTGTGTACATGTCTCACTGAAAATTTTTTTATTAACACACATTTGTAGTACATGCATTTCGCAATCACCTTGGGGAGCGGGTGGGTGTATACAATGCAGCTCATTTCTCTTCTGTGAAGAAGTAAGTAGGCTCACATCTGCACCTTGAGTTCTGCTGCTGTTAGCTCTGGACTAGAACTGAAAAGCAGCTCTGTCTAGAAATAAAGGCGGAGCTATTCTCATAAGCTCTATTGCCAAGCTTTTTTCATAATTAACATATGACTGAAGGTCATAAAGTCGTACCCCACAGAAACGCTGCTCCTGTTGGCTGCATCGCAGCAGTGCAGTAGTAGGGTCTGACCTCACAGTTGGTGCAGGTGGATGGGGGTGTCCAAGGGAAGGAGGATGGCGTGAGCCTCCCCGACTTTCCCCCAAGCGAGGCTGCTCCAGGGGACAGGGAAGCCTGATCCTAGGCAAGCTGGACTCCTGCGTCACTGCCAGGCCAGCTAGGGTATGGCATCTTGCCTCCCGCATGGAAAATCTCACCTGAGGCACTGTCTTGAGATGACATTGACTTTCTGTCCGGAACTACGTGGTGTTGTCCGCCTCCTGCTCATCTCCCTGGAGGTAAAAGAACTGTGGGGGAGTTACTTAGAAAATTAGATTTAGAGCCCACGAAATGAAGAGCCAGGACATGTGCATTTAAAAGCCGTACCCCACCTCTGGCTCTAGCTAACAGACAGGCTGGACTCTGGCTTGCAAAACCCCGTTTCTATCAAGTATTGGAGCCCTGCAACTTTAGCGAACACGAGACTGGTTCTTTTTCACTCACCTACTGAACTGGTTGCTTTCTTCTCTGCCTCTTCCCTTGTGTCTGGAACAGATCCTATGTACTGAACAAAGAAAAATAAGACCCCGATTTCACTCACATTGCAGGTCAGGAGCAATCGAGAAAATATTTTCACACAACTTTTATACGTAATAGCTGGATCCTATGAGACTGCAAACATCAGTGGTACACATGTTAGGTCATACCATCAACCTATCTGGAATTGTCAAGGAAAGCTTTTAATTATCTTCTTTAAATGCAGTGATTGCTCTAGGGGTTTTTTCCTCCTGATTGAGTCTTTAGTTCCCTGAAATACTTTGTACTTGCTTTATTTCATCAAGTAATGGCTATTTGGAGAAGAGCTGAGTGTGTTCCTGTAATTGGGCAGAGACCTTGTAAAAGGAACAGAATGTACTTTGTGCTGGTGATCAAAACTATGAAGATTGTTCAGCCTGAGAAGACAGGCATAATTAAACAGGAAAGAAAAAAGTGGTGGTAAAGAAAATGGCCCAGCAGAACCTCTTGGGTTTCCCCCAGTGGAGGGCTTCTCTCCCTGCTAGGCTGACCCCACTGCAAGTGCACAGATGTGTTCCTAGGTGCCAGCACCGAGGCCCAGCCAGCTCCAAACTCTCTGCCAGGCCCAGCGCTGCGTGCCGGCTCCTGTAGAAAGCCCCAGACCTCAGGGAGCAAGGGCAAACAGGCAAAGAAATTATGTAACTCAATCCCGCCCCAAAGGCTACGTGAAGTCATACAGTTTGGCCAGTCCTCAAGTACGGGTGTAACAGTCATTTCTTCATGTGAGACAAAATTAAACAGTACAGAAAACTGAGCAGGACTTTAAATCTGGTGGTGTTGGTTCACTTGAGGAAGTGACCAGTTCCACATCACCGCCTCAGTGCCCTGCCCTTTGCGCCCTTAGACTGGCTGTTTAGAGTCCCACAAAGGTGGATGGAAGCTGCTGTTAGAGGGCAGAGGAGACCTAGGGAGTTGGGCAGCCTTGTGAAGAGTGTTTCTGTGTTACACATTCTCTGATCAGTATTTGCTGGGGTTTTAGCTAAGAAGATAGAAATATTCACCTTCAAACATACATAGAATCATAAATGTATGTTAGGTATGCAAGCCTGCACAATATTAAATATCTTCACTGGTGTAACCTAAGCATTCGATCTAA